CAGGGGAAACTTGCAATCAGGATGTTCATCCTCCCTGCTGTGCAGTGAGTAATAAAGTCCCTCGGTTTTGCCCTGGCAGGTGCTAATCTATTGGCTGAGCATTGTCCTACACACCAAAAGGCTGAAGGTTCAATTCCCTGTCAGGGCACTTGCCTGGGTTGCTGGCTCCACCTCCCGTAGGGGGCATGGAAATTTGTTACCCAGTAACAGAAAACGAATGCATTGATTGATACAGAAAAATTTAAATAACAAAACTAATAAGAAACAGCTAAATCAGTGCATGGAGAGAAATTTATATGCACTATATTTCAGATACATTAGTTCACTTAATTTCACAACATCCCTTGGAAAGCCTTGTTCAAGGCACACAGCTAAGGGGGAAAGCACTATAAAAATGAAAGATTTGCTCATGCCACTCTCTCTTCAGCCAAAGTTATTTGAAAATGATAAGACTGCTCAGCTAGAAAATGTAAAGGAATCACTTTCAGTAATACCAAGAGCAATGCAATTGCTCTATTAGATTACAAAGTTTAGAAGCCAGGAATTTTTAAAAAGGCACCACTTATAATTGCTTAGAAGTATACCTAGGAATAAGTGTAACCAGAAATGTCTGAGATATACAGAAAAAGAGACACAACAAATCCTGTAGGTGGGTGGGAAACCTGGATAAACAGAGAATCACAATGGGCTGCAAAAATCTATAAATAAATATAAGTCAAGCCTATTCAAATTAATGTACACATTGAAGGTGACTCTAGTGATCTTTTCACTAGTTCACCTGCCTGATGAGACACTATTGCAGACATAAGAAAATCTGTAATCATTTTATGCTATAAAAATATGTTTAGCCCTAGCCAGTTTTGCTCAGTGGTTAGAGCATCAACCCTCCGACTGAAGGGTCTCTAGTTCAATTCCCAGGCAGGGCACATACCCAGGTTGCGTTTAATTCTGGTCGGGGCAAGTACAGGAGGCAGCCCATCGATGTTTCTTCCTCTCTCTCTCCCTTCCCCTCTGTCTAAAAAACCTTTTTTTAATCTTTTTTAAAAAATTGAAAAAGGGCACACACCCAGTGTTCACTGATCAGAGCTTAGGGTAATAAAGATCATTACTTGTGTGTACAATGAACATGAAAGGAAATATCCAAGACAATTGTGGAGGAAACCTGGAGGCAGGGAACAAGACATCTTTTATGACACACACTAGGTCATACCTCACTACTTTGTCAGAAAGATAACTAGAGTATTTACATAGTTACAAAAGAGGTCATAGAAGACTAAAAAGGTTTTAATGAATTCCTCGAGGAAGAAATGCACTGGATTTGGAAAAGCTGGATGAAGGTATCATGTAGTCAGTCAACATCTGAGTCTCAACCTCCCTGCTGTCCAGGGTCCCTGGGTCTACAAAGCTCCAGCCTCATGCGTCTGTCTCTACGGAGATACACTGGCCTCCCCCAAGAAACAGAAAACAAAAACCTATTTCCAAGTTAAGTCTTAAGTCTGAACCAGGGGCTCCCGTTCATTAACGCCCGCAGCCCCCGGCTTCCGATATCTGGGCCCCCAGTAAACTGCGAGTCTGTCAAGGCCTCCGCGTTCACTGACACACCCGCCGCCCCAGTGCTCAACCACCGAGCCCCACAGCATCACACACTGGGCCCCAAACCCTGGCAGTCGAACCCTGGGCCATTAACGTCTCCATAGGCGTAACATTGCCCGCCAAGGGGAAGGTCACTAAACCAAGAACTCGCGGCCGCCGCCCCCCAACACTCCCCGTGAGCGAAACAAAAGTCCCCCAAACGGCCCTCCTCTCGCCTCACAGGCCCCCCCAGTCCGCAGACGCCGCCCCACCTGATGCTGAGCGTCTCAAGACCCCAAGCAGCTACCAAACGCCCCACTCACGGCCAACTCAGCCAACCCGCCGGGCCAAGGCCAGCCTGGCTCCGGCTGTTGCTGGGGACGCTTCTGGAAATTCCAGTTCCGGTCCCGGCGGTGGGCGGGGCTCTGTGACGCAGCGTGGCCACGCCCACTGCCGGAGCCAGGCCCACGCAGTCAAGATGGCGCCCGTGGCTCACCAGCAGCGGCGGCAAGAAGAAATTGGAGTCACCATTTGGACCCTCGCAGTCTCTCTGTGGATCAAGAACGCTGTCCTGAATGAGTGTGCAGAGGCCGACGTGGAGCGTTCTGTATTCTACTTAGGCTTTTGGGCCAAACGGGAAGATGGCAGCGCGGGTGCACCGCTACTGGGCCGCAGGACGGGCGCGGCCATCTTCCTGGGGCGGAAAGCGCCGGGGAGCTAACGCCCTGAGGAGCCTTTGGACACAAGACGAAGTTGGTGGAGGCCCGATGTTAGAAGCGGCGGTCAGACTGGGGACACAACACTGGTGGGCTTTGAGTCCTTTTCTGTTCTATTCTAAGAATCATTTTCCTTTTCTGCTTTCCTTATAATCAGTTGATAAACCTCTCTCATCCCACGTGAAGGGTTTTGGGTTGACAGTTCTGTTCTTTAGAACTACTGCCCATCGGTGATAAAATAACCTGAGCCCGGGGGCCTGGCTCAGTGGCTGAGCTTCGACCTGTGACCCAGGCGATCCCGGCTGGATCTAGAAGTAATTTCTCTCCTGGTCTCAGTTTAGCTCGTTTAAAGATAACGTAAGGACCTCAATGCTCGCTCCCGGAAAGCATGGGGCTCTGTGTGGCCAACGCTGCATGGGCGGCGCATGGGAAAGACCCAGGTACGAGAGGGAGTGTTTGACAAAAACTCAACATAAAAGAACAAACTGCCTCGATCTGAACCTGTTCTTTCATAAATCCCTCTGCATAATATAAACTATAAGAGTTTATGGTAGACACACCAGTTTTCAATGAACCCTTTACCTTGGCCTAGGGAAACTAAACTGATATATACATGCCCATATCCCATCAATGGAGTATTAGCTCCTTTCTGTTGTTTTATTCATAGTAACATTCCAGATACAATTTATTAAATTGACTTTGAGAGGAAGAGAGAAAGGATGTGAGAGGGCAACATCAATGTGCTTCCTGCACGCCCCCTTCCGGGGACCAAGCCCGCAACCTGGGCATAGCTGTGACAGGAATTGAACCAGTAACCCACCTCAGTGCCCCCACCCCTGGCACAAATTATTTTTAAGAAAATTCACTTATTGGCTCCACTTCTACCATTCACTTGACACCACAGACCAATTGGTGTATGTGTTTGGGTTAACATCAGGTCATGCCTCTCTATCAATGCATATATTTAATACGGTGAGAATATCACGACTTCTCTGTCTCAGCATTTATAGTTTCTCTCAGTATATAATTTTCAACAATAATCTGAGCTAGGAATTTTTAAAATTTATTTATTTGATTGATTTGAGAGAGAAGGAAGAAATATCAATTCGTTTTTCCACTTGTTTATGCATTTATTGGTTGCTTCTTCTATGTGCCCTGACTGGGGATTCAACCCACAACCCTGGTGTATTAGGATGATACTCTAACCAACTGAACTACCTGGTCAGAGCTGAGCTACACAGGTTTTGATCAAACATTTGCACATAGAATATCTCTTGACTTTTTTCCTATTGGTTTCCTGTGACATAAAATAAGACATAATTGATCACTGAAGGTGAGACCACACTAACTGCATTCATAAGGTTTCTGTCCTGGGCAAATCCTCCCGAGGGCACACATCTGGCCATAGGCTGACCCATTACAACTACATTCCTGTTTGCTAAGAGCCCACTGATGTTTAATGTTGCCTGAGGGACCAGAGAAGGCACCTGCATAGCCACCGTATTAGCAAAGTTTTTCTCCTGCAGGACCACACTGGTCTGGGATGAGCTGGGATTCTCCGCAAGAGGATGTAACACCTTGACTGAGTGAATTTTCTGATGTTCATTGAGGACTGACTTTGCTCTGAAGGCTTTCCCACATTCATTACAACCATATGGTCTTTCCCCTGTATGAATTCTCTGATGTACAACGAGCTGTGGCTTCCCAATAAAGGCTTTCCCACAGTCACTGCATTCAAAAGGTTTTTCTCCTGTGTGAATTCTTTCATGTTTAATGAGACCAGTCTTCTGGGAACAGGATTTTCCACATTCACTGCACACAAAGGGTGTCCTTCCTGTGTGAAATCTCTGATGTGTAGTGAGAGATGTCTTTTGGCTGAAGCCTTTTCCACATTCTTTGCATATATAAGGTTTCTCGCCTGTATGAGTCCGTAAATGTACCATGAGATTGCCCTTCTGGATAAAGCGTTTCCCACAGTCACTGCATGCAAAGGGTTTCTCCCCTGTATGTATTTTGTAATGTATATTGAGCCGTGACTTCTTAAGAAAGGCTTTGCCACACTCTGTGCATTCATGAGGTTTCTCTCCTGTATGCGATCTCCGGTGTTCATTCAGTGTGACCTTTCTGGAGAAGGCTTTCCCACACAGACTACAACGATGAGGCTTCTCTCCTGTATGAAGATTCTGGTGATCACTAAGCAAACACTTCTTCATGAAGGCTTTCCCACATTCACTGCATACATGTCGTTTCCTTATTTTTTGAGGTTTTTGATGCTTAATGAGTTGGGACTTAGTGTTGATGAATTTTTGGCTTTCCAGGAATTTAGTTTCAGTCTGAAATTGTTTACTCTTAACATGAAAGGAAGATTGCCCATCTCCAGGAAGTTCACCCGGCTTTTTGACTTCATAGTCTCTACTCTGGCTAAGTAAAGATAAATCTGATTTCATACTTTCTTCAAGTGAGTCAAGCATATCATGACTTTGCCGTAACGGAAAATGAGTTTTACTCCAATGAACACAATTTTCAAATACGTTATTTTTGTGCCATTGTTCTAGCCTATTCTCCATGCTTTCATCTCGTACATGCTCCCACATATGGCCATCAAGTTTCCAGATATCTAGGAAAGAAAACGAATTCTTACATCATCTTGATTTGGAAGAAAGGTAATGAAAAATACACCTTGATGTGTGGTGTCTTTTTTGCTGATGATCCTATGATGTGAGTATAACTATGGTCTGGTTTAGGCTGGAACTGAGAATGTATATAATAAAAATAAATCTAGTTAAAAAACAACATGAACACCAGACTCCTTTAAAGAAGAGAGCTCTGTGGGTAGGGAACTGAGGTGATGGCTGGATGGCCAGGAGGGCAGATGCACAGGGGGTGAAGGAGAACCTAAGTTTACAGGGGTCTTCTGGAAGGAACAATAATTCTAGGTCTTTGCAGTGACTGGAAGCTCAGGAGAGTTGCCATCTAGATGAGTAAATTCTACAAAATAGAGTCTGTGATAGATCACATTGGGGAGACTGTACTAGGAGAGTTTCATGCAGGGAACAAAAGCAGCTTAGTGGATTAGCATGAAGAAACTTTGAAGGGTTGGTGGACCAGATGAGAAAATGGAAACCGGAACCTTTGAAGAATCTCAAGTGAAGGACAGGCAAAGCTAAGAAAAAATAAAGCAAAAGTGCAGTGAACCAGTTTTCTTTGGGGGTAAAGCATCCAAGATGGGGTGGATGTTAGGAAGGAAATCAACATCACCAAGGGCAGAAGGGAGCAGTGGTCAGAAGACAGCACAGTTTTCTCTTTGGAGGGACGCCTTGGACGGTGGAGTCTCAGCAAAAGAGGTGAAAGAATAAGAATAATAAAGGAAATATTTAAGAAATCTAGCCCTAACTGGTTTGGCTCAGTGGTTAGAGCATCAGGCCACTGACTGAAGCGTACCGGGTTTGATTCTGGCCAAAGGCACCTACCTCTGTTTCAGGCTCGATCCCCAGCCCTGGTCGGGGAATGTGCAGGAAACAAAAAATCGATGTCTCCCCCC